TTAAAGTATAAGTCTTGTCTCAAAATTTCAATTCACATACTACTTTTCAGCAATGTGCTACAAAACAAGCAAAGTACACCTACCTACACAAGAGTAATTACATTCTAACAAGGTTTCATTTTTTGGCAGAAATGAAATAACCATAACGGTTTATCAGTGGACATATTTACATATGAATAGTCTATGAATTCACATAGGCAAACTATTATAGTTTCAAAGGTAATCTCATGTTTTGAATTCTAAAAGTTCACATCTGATTCAATGTATCTTTGTACATTGGTCCTGAAAAGGAGTTAGGAAAGTCAGCTGGTTTGAGCAAGTAACTATTAAAGCTACTGATACCAGGTGCTCTTGGCAAAAGTAATGTTTACATGTTATAGTCCATTACGTAATGAAACAATAAATAAAATTTTCTTGTACTAGCTGATTACTTGGTTAAGATTATGATAAAACATTAAAGTTTTTCCAGAAATATTTTGGCCTTAAGATTTTCATATATGAAGACTGATACACTGTGAATAAAAGGCAGCCTTATTTCAGAACATTTCTAGTTGGCATCAGGTTACTGACCTGTTTGATATTCTTGGAGATAGGACCTGGAATAACACAATCATCGCTGTCAGAAGCTGATCTGTCCTCTTCATCTGTTAAAAAATAAAAGATAGCACTTGCACGCATTATGCCAATTATATTCATACCTTGTGAAACAGAGAGAAACAGGCACACAACATAAGATAACCTTAAGAAAACAATGATAATTATGTCTAGACCATCTTTTTAGCAGCAAATATGTTTACATATATATTGTATTTTAGAAAAGAAAAAAAATGACTAAAAATTCCAAGGTTAGTTTTGGTAGGAGCAAAGGAGATACAAATGAAAAATACAGCCTATTATAGTATCAAATTAAAGAAAAAAAATTTTAAAGAGGGAATCATAGGGAACTGTTTTCTAACAGCCTAACCAATAATATTATGTAAAAGTCAATGCTATTACTCAAACATTTTAGAATTTTTATACCTTTATTTAGGTAAAATTAACACACAATAAACTGTAGACATTTAACCTGCAAAATATGATGCATATATTTTT